AGGCGTGGGATGCGAACGGCGGGGCAGCAGAGGCGGGCTGCTGGTCCGAGCGGGTCGGCAGAGCTGGGCGGTAGGCGGCGGCTGCAGAGGCAGCGGCCGCAGCAGCGGCTACCAGCTGGGCCTGTGCTATTCCCGCCCCCAGGCTGCAGGCCGTGGGATGGGCAGGGGCAGCTGCATGGCGGCGGAACCAGGCCCAGGCATCACTGGGGAAACCTTTAGTGGGGAAAGACAAACTGAGACGCAACCTGCTGGGAGCCGCTAGACCCTCCTCTCCGGAGTGGAGGAGGGAGGATCCTTCCTTGCCTCAGCCTCTCTTTTGGAGGTACCAAGCGAGTAGGGGGTCCACGAGGGAGAGGCAGGCATTTTAGAGCTTGGAGGCCCTGAATCTGTGTGTGATGTTTGAGCAGTGGGCAGGTTTGGTAGAGATGGACATTAGGGCCTAGCATGAGAGACCCAGGGCAGGTGGACCTGGGCTTGGTCCCTGGGAACATGGCTAGGACAGAGTGTGGGGGAGGGGACGACAGGCTTGGGTTCTGGCTTTCTGGAGGCCAGGGCACTCCTAGGGGTTGGGATTTGTCCTTTGCTAGTTTAAAGCCTTTTGCTCGTGGCGTTTGGCATTTGACAGTGACTGAGCAAAGGGGTGATGGCGTGAGAATGATGGGGAGAAAGGATTAGCCAGCAGAGACTACTTGGCCTGGACAATCGCTAAGAGGAAGGAAATTCTCAGTGGTAGCCAATGGAGTTCCAGGTGATCAGGAGTGGGGCCAGCCTGTGCCACCAGTGGGCGTGAAAATGGAGTGTGTACCTGAGAAACTGGAGTGTGTGGATCCTTGGGGTCCTGGTGTGGCAGATGACTCTCTAAACACTTTATTAAAGCTGTGATGTAGCTTTGAGAACCCAAGGGGTGAATAGAGGGGGACAAGAACTGAGAAGAGGAAGGGACCATGGACTGTGGTGGAATACATCACTGTCACGGGTGACAATAAATTTTATGTCTTTGTCTAGACAGGACAGTAAACAGAGTCCTCATGCCAGGTGTTGAGGAGGCTCGAGAGGAGAGCCTTGATTGGAAGTGACTTTTGCCTGGGTGGGTGAAGGATGCCAGGAGTGTGAACAGGCCCAGATATCAGTACCCACAATCGGGGTACCACAGACAGGACAGCCAGTCTTAGGGACTTAGGAAGAGACAGTCTTGCCACAGCATTCCTGAGGTTGGCCCTGAAGGTGGAGGAGAGCCAGCAGCAGAAGCCCAGCAGAGGAACTGGAAGTGCAAGTGTGCTGATTCAGATAGAGGATACAGCAGGAGGTGTGGCCAGGAGAAGAGCGCTTCTCCAGAGGCTTCTCCGGAGCGAGGGCTAGCGGTGGTGGGTCAGGGAAGACAATGATCTGCTTTGCCCTAGATAGCCTCAGGAAGGGGAGAGATTGAGCTGTGGATAGAGGAAAGAGGGGTGGTGGGGTACAAGGCAGTCGTAGGAAAGTACGAGGGACTTGGAGGGTGGGTATCTCAGGTTTTGAATGACGGTCCATCTAGGATTGAAAAACTTGCCCAGTCTCCAGGGTGGAATCTGGGTATCCAACACTCCTTGTGCGCCTAGTACAGCACAGCTACTTCAAAATGCCCAGAACCTTCCAAAGAAGTGGCCTAAAGCCGTCGGTCCGGGCGTTGTGGTCCAGGGTGTCAGAGCCAGGAGAGACGGAGGTTTGGGTCCAGCCACGACAAATCACCAGGGCTTTTAGAGTGGCGGCCGGTGAGGTGGGGGGGAACCACTTCCGTTCCATTTCCTTCCTGGCGGTGGCGGGAATGAGATCGGTCCTTCAGGTGGGGTTGCAGCGCCCTCTGGAGGCCCCGTTCCGGGGCTCCAGGTCTCGGGTGCTAGCAGCGGCGCGTGCGTGCGTCCAAGGAGGTCTCCTGCACCCGGCGTGGGGACAGCACCACACGCAGGAAACAGCCAGGCCTGGGAAGGCTGGCGTGCGCCCTGACAACCCTAGCCTCCGTGCCAGTCTGCCGCACAATCTGACTTGTATCTGGTCTTTCCCAGGTTCCGAACTCGCCGGCTGGGAGCCGCAGCACACTCCAGGCAGCTGGACAAACCCCCGCACCCGGATGCGCTGCGCCATGCCGGAGGGTTGAGCGTCGCGTTCGCTGCTCTCTGGGACACAGCAGGACCTCGTCCCGCTTTGTGTGGGGACTGCGCGCCAGGGCCGAGCCCGGGCCGCTGACCATGGTGCTGCCGCCTCCCGACCGGCGCCACGTGTGCCTGACCACGCTGGTGATCATGGGCAGTATGGCAGTCATGGACGCATACCTGGTGGAGCAGAATCAGGGCCCGCGCAAGATCGGCGTGTGCATAATTGTGTTGGTAGGCGATGTGTGCTTCCTGTTGGTGCTGCGCTACGTGGCCGTGTGGGTGGGTGCCGAGGTGCGCACGGCCAAGCGTGGCTACGCTATGATCCTCTGGTTCCTCTATATCTTCGTGCTGGAGATCAAACTCTATTTCATCTTTCAGAACTATAAGGCGGCGCGGCGTGGAGCGGCCGACCCGGTGGCTCGCAAGGCACTGACACTGCTGCTGTCAGTGTGCGTGCCGGGCCTGTTCTTGTTGCTTGTGGCACTAGATCGCATGGAGTATGTGCGTACCTTCCGAAAGCGCGAGGACCTTCGTGGCCGCCTTTTCTGGGTGGCTTTAGATTTGCTGGATCTGCTGGACATGCAGGCCAACCTCTGGGAGCCACCGCGCACCGGGCTGCCGCTGTGGGCCGAAGGCCTCACCTTTTTCTATTGCTACATGCTGCTGCTGGTGCTGCCCTGCGTGGCACTCAGCGAGGTCAGCATGCAAGGGGAGCACATTGCACCACAGAAGATGATGTTGTACCCGGTGCTCAGCCTCGCCACTGTCAACGTGGTGGCCGTGCTAGCCCGTGCCGCCAACATGGCACTCTTCCGAGATAGCCGAGTCTCAGCCATCTTCGTGGGCAAGAACGTGGTGGCACTGGCCACCAAGGCCTGCACGTTCCTTGAGTACCGTCGCCAGGTTCGCGACTTTCCACCACCTGCGCTTGCGCTTGAGCTGCAGCCACCTCCTTCCCAGCGCAACTCGGTGCCGCCGCCTCCACCACTGCATGGTCCTCCAGTGCGTCCTCACGGACCCTCACCCACTCGTGATGCGTTGGACACGTGACAGGGCCCCGTGGGCCGCACAGACGCTGGACTAGCTGCGCGCGGTTTGCATGGGATGGGATGGGGCAGGCTCCCATTAGGGACAGGTGCTGTGGGTACCTGTGCAGTGAGTGCCTGGGGTTCCGGGCGGGGCGTGTCTGCTTCTTCATCTCAGGAATCTCTCGGACCACGGACCCTCAGCTTCCACTCCACTGGCTCACCTCGATGCACAGGGCAGTTGGTGAGGCCTGGTCCCGAGTGGAGATAGATGCCTCAACCCCTGCTGGGCTGCCAGGGTGGGAAGGGAGGGCAATGTTCCAGGAGATCTGGACTTATGGTAGGGGCCCCTGGCTCGGAGTTTGGGGCCAGGGAGGCCTCTGTCATTTTAAAGACTTGTGTTTACAGTTTTGTACCCAAAGCCTGGCTGTTCTTCCTGTTTCACGAGTCCCCTGCCTAACAACTGGGCAGAGTGGCAAGGACTGGTGAGTGTTGGGTACCACTGGGCAGCCAGGTACTTCTGAAGCAAACAGGTATTTCTGGGGTCTCTTCAGGTGATTCTCAGTTGTTCCTGGGTGGGGTCCATTGTGGCCCTTTGTCAGAGACACTCTTCTCCCACCTCAGTGCACCTGCCCCTGTAGACTGCTCTCACTGAGGTATCCTGACCTCCCTCTCCCCTATCCCTCAGTCTCTACAGTTGTCCAGGCCTCATGTCCCTGGCCTTCCCAACTCAGGTTCAGAAGTGTCCTATACTTCTTCTCTTCCTGTACAAACTCTCTCTGCCTGTGGGTGACTTGGGCTCATGACTGCCAGTATCAAACGGGATCAGGTGCCAGCTTTGTTCCTAAGTTGAAGCTGCGTGCAGCCTCAGCCAGAAGAGCGGTCTGGCCTCATGTCACCCCAGCCTGGCCCTGCCCCAGACACTGGCCAGTCCCGCAGTGCCCTGACCAAGTGCACAGACCTTGACCGTCTGTCTGCCGGCGGTCTCTCCCTGACCTCCACCCTGAACCTGTGGTGACTGAATTCACTAGGCCTAGGACAGTCTCATTGTGGCATCTAGAGAGGGGTCTTCAGCGAGGGTGTTTGATGGTTACATATCTTTCAGGCCTGGCACCTGCAGCACAATGCAAACCCATGACCTGCCAGGCCCGTGTTCACTGCATTGCCCAGTGCTCATATGTGCATCCTTGTGATCCAGAGCAGGGGGTCTGCTGTCCAGTCTGACCTGTTGTAGAGGGGCATGGATCCAGCTGTGCATGGTAGGATACCTCCATCCCTGTGCCCACCTCTGGATGCACTGACTGTGCCCACCTGTGCCCACCTCCGGATGTCCCTTCTCTACCCAGTTGCTTCTCTGAGTCTGGATTTTGAGAGTCACCTGTTTTGCAAGCGGCTGTCCTTGGAGACAGCTCTTCAGGGGCACAGGGAGGACCCATGGCTATACCCCTCACCTGGTGAAGTGTGGCCAGTTCCTCTCTTTTTGCCTTCCATACTGGGCCTTGTCCCCACCTCTGACTACATCCCCGCAGTGCCTGATGAGCACCCTGAAGACCTTGGCTCTGGGTTCCACACTCCCACGACACTGCAACCCACGTGCAAGCTTAGAGAGTGGAGGCCTACGGTATAGAGAGCGACCTGTAAGCACACATGGCCAGCCTGCAAGAGTTCCTCAGTTAGTGGGCAGACCCTGGCTGTCTTTGGCTCTGTGCCGTCTTGGATGGGGAGCACAATAGATGAGGCCCAAGAGGTGAGCTGTAAATCTGGGTGTCTGGGCTGTTGTCTGTGTCCTTCCCTTGCTGAAGCCAGAGCCATCCTGTCTGTCTGGTCTCTGTGTTTCCATTTACATCAACCTACATCTAGCTATCCTTTCCCTAACTTCTCGAGGTGGCTTGTGGAGGGGGTAGCTAGGGGTCCCCTTGTGCTCCTTAATTCATTCTTGGTTAATAAATCCTGGTGCTAGGTGACTGACCTTGACCCAAGAACCTCAGGGACTGGGTATGATGGGCACCTGGGAGAGGCATTGGGCAGAGCTAGTCCTTAGGACATGGGCCCTCAAACAGCAAGTGTCCCAGGGATGTAAGCTGTGGGTTATGTGATTAGAGCTGGGAAAGGGACCGTGTGAGGGGGGAATCGCTGTAGTCATGGGGCACCCACTGAACACTTCAGGTGAAGCGTTGGGTAAGGAAGCTGATGTCTGCAAAAGGGCAGGGAGGTGGGTAGTGAACAGACTTGGGGGCCACTCCCTGTGAGGTGAACTGGTGTGGAGGGCTCTTCCCCTCAGATGGGCTTTGGAGGAATGGAGGGTCAGGGTGTGCTCACTGTGAGGATCCTGAAGTGGGTTTAGTGCCTGTTTCAGAAGGGGATTCTGAGATTGTGTGAAATATAAGAAGTCACAGGTCAAAGGCTAAGCCTCCAGAGTACTTTAGACAAATGAACCAACCAGCAAAGGAGGCCCAAGGAGGGAGAAGACAGGAGGCTGGGCACTGGAGGGCACGGTTGCTGGAAGTTCCTGTGGGGTCTGGGGAGGGAAATGCTCCCTGAGAGCTTGGGCAAACGATTCAGGATGCAGACAGTGTGGACAGCCAGCTTTCAGCCCATTTGTGGGGGAGTGGGGGAAGAGAAATGGGCATCAAGGCTATGCCCAGGTGCTGTGTCCCTCTAAGGGACTGACCCATCCCTGATGTCATCAAGAGCATGTTCATCCTGTTCACCTCCTACCAGGCAAGGTCACGTGATGTTTCTAATTTATGTAGCAAGATTCACTTAATGGCCAGAGAATTCCCTGTCTGGATATATTAACCACCTATGCCCACGTCCCAGCATGGGACCTGCTGTGTGCTCAACTTGTACTGTTCCGGGAGACAGTGGCATTCGAGATCTGAGATCTTAACCAGAGTCCATACAGGTCTGCAGACCTGGAGCCTAAACTCATGGTGCTCAAGACTTGTTCCCACAGCCCAGGTGCTGGGAACTGGACTCCGGTCCTCTACAAGAGTAGCAAGTACACAGAACCCCCCCTTAGCTCTCCCAACTATTAATTTTGTTTTGTTTTTTCACTTTTGGTTTTCTGAGACAGGGTTTCTCTGTGTAGCCTTGGCTGTCCTGGAACTCACTCTGCAGACCAGGCTGGTCTAGGCTAGGCTTGAACTCACAGAGATCTGCCTACTTCTGTTTCTGAGTGATGGGATTAAAGGTGTGTGTCACCACCACCTGGTCGAACTGTTAGGTTTTAAGATGAGAGTCTCATATTGTTGCGTAGATTGTCCCCAAACTTGTGGGCTCCAGTGACATTCCTGCCCCAGCCCCCTGAGCAGCTGAGAATATAGGTACCACCTTGTTGACTTGTACAGTTTGTTTGCTTGTTTATTGAGACAGGGTCTCACGTCTCCCAGGCTGGCCTTGGATTCACTTTGAAGGTGAGGACGGTGGCCTTGAACTCCCGATCCTCTGCCCCTACCTTCCCAGAGCTGGGATTATAGGCATAAACACCGTGCCCACCATACTTTTTAAAAAAGCAGTGCTGTATGAAACCCAGACTTCATGCATGACAGGCAAGCACTCTACCAACTGAGCTAATCTTTAGCCCCATTAAAAAAAAAAGGTAGGGCTGGTGTTTTCTCCTTTCGGCAAAGCTGCACACCAACCCTATCTAAGCCCTTTTCTGGCACAGGTGAGAGGGTTGTGTGCATTGGCTCTACCTTTCCCTAGCCAGGCTTCGGTAAGGGGCGAGGGCAGCGTTGAGGACTGTGTGCCAAGGCCTGGGCAAGCCTCGAAGACCTCAGTTCTGTCCATGCCACACTAGCTGGTGTCAGAGGAGGTGGGCTGTGGTGAGCTGTGTTGGGCAGCACCTGCCAGGTCCTTACTGCCTCCGTGGACTGGGCCAAGAGGAAACAATATCGTCAGGCTATGGTGTGCTGCCTGTTGAGCTGGGGGTGCTGATCTCGGGACCAGGAGACAATGTTTTCTCTACCACCATGACACTGTGGCAAGCTTTCAAAGTCAAGTCCCAGACACGACCAAGCATGGGAACAGAGCAAAAAGGTATAGAGGCTCTCCTAGGAGCTAGTTCAGGCCTTGGGTCCCATTGGGTTCCAAGCTAGGGCTTCTGAGGAAGGAGGGGTGCTTAGGAATGCCCATTTGATCTTTGTTTATTGTGATACTATTTGGAGTGATGATGGGATCGAGCCAGACTGTCCTTACCAGTTTGGTCCCAGCACAGGGGACAGCCTGGACCTGTGACTTCATCTTCCACTCGCAAGCACACTCACATCTGCTGTAGAACAGTGGCCTCAAAGTAATGAAACTGACTGGGTGGTGGTGGCACACGCCTTTAATCCCAGCACTCAGCAGAGGCAGGCGGATCTGTATGAATTTGAGGCCAGCCTGGTCTACAGAGTGAGTTCCAGGACAGGTTCCAAAGCTACACAGAGAAACTCTGTTTCAAAGAAAACAAAAAGCAAAAAGCAAAACAAAACAACCCTCCCCCCCCAAAAAAAAAGAAAAAAAAAGAAAGAAAAATGAAACTGTATTTCATCAAAATCAAGCCCACTTATCTTAATAGGTGAAACTTCCTGTGGTCAGATTCCTGACAGCAAAGAAACTGTGAAAGATACCAACCAAGAGCGCCAGAAAACTCTCTACTCTTTCCTCATTCGGATGGCTTGCCCTGCCTCCTAGGAACTCCTTTGCTGATAGCCTAGGATAAAGTGAGGAGCAGGGACTACCCCCATGGTAAGACATGAGTAACTTCACTTGTGAAAACAAGAGAAGAAAATAAACGCAAAGGATTCCTCAACCAGAGGTGGGCAAGGAGGGCTATCCTCCTTGGCTCAGTCTGAGTGGGGCAGGTATGTGCCAAGCCTGCAGGTATATGGGATGTTCCTGGTGCTGGACCCATCAAGATGCATGGGCTTTGGATGGGTGAAGAAAGAGAACAGTGGGTCATTGGGGAGGAACATGGCAGACTGCAGGAGGGAGGCAAAGGCTAGGACTCCTCAGGAGTGAGGAGGCCTCGTCAGGAGCGGCCTTACAGGGCTGTCTTAGTAGGTCATTATTGCCCTGATTAAACACCATGTCCAAAGCAACCTGGGGAGGAAGAGGTTTATTAGGCTTGCTCATCATTGTTCATCACTGAAGGAATTCAGGGCAGGAATCTGGAGGCAGGAGCTGATGCAGAGGCCATGGAGGATCCTGCTTACTGACTTATCTTCATGACTTGCTCAGTCTACTTTCTTACAGAACCAGGACCACCAACCCAGGGATGGCACCCCTCACAATGGGATGGTCCTTCCATGATCAATCACTTAGAAAATGCCCTACAGGCATGCCTATAGCCTGATCTTATGAAGATATTTTCTTAATTGAAAATAAGATAATTTTAACTTGTGTCAAGTTGAGATAAAACTAGCCAGCACAGGGGCCCAGAAACCACCTCCTCCATGTGATAGTCTCCGGTTTTCTTGAGATTCCCCCGGTGTCATGGTTGATTTGAGTGAACTCTCTGCTTTCCTGAGCTGGGGTTGGCATGGTTGATCCACTGGGACAGAAACTCAGGGCAACTGTACAGCTTGACAGTCTGTGTCCTTCCTAAATCTGTGTTGACCCTTAAACCCAAAGCGACCTAGTTGAGGGGTCTGCCCTAAAAAGGGTTTGAAGTGCGGAGTTCACCGTTGCTCTCTGACCCAGAGGGAGAATGCTGCAGGCGCCATCTTGGCAGCAGAGGTCAACTCTCACCGCACACAACTTGCTGTCATCTTGACCTTGGGCCTCCAGCTTTTAGAGAGAGGTAAGCTTTGTGTTGATAAATCCCCCAGCCTGGAGCATGTTGTGACACAGTGCAGGTGGTCACAGGGAGTATGTGCTTCAGCCAGTGGAGCTCATTTCTCTGCTGCAAGCCTGGCAGGTGGTCCAGGCTGCCACTTCTTCTGGACCCAAGGCCCTCCTGTCCATACCATTTTCCTTGGTGTGAGTTGTGCTTTTAGGACTCCAGCTGCTTCCTTAGGTTGTAGCCAGAGAGAAGGCCGGAGAGGTCGAAAGAGATCCTGGTAGGATTTCTTTGTGAGGTGCTTGGAGGCTGGCTTTAGACACGTGCTAATACACATGCTCACACACGCTCACACATGCCCACCCTCCCATGCCAGGCAGGAGGCTGGCTTTAGACATGTGCTTACACATATCCACACATGCTCACACATGCTCAACACACGCCCACTCTCCCGTGCTAGGCAGGTTTTCTTCACAGACAGATCTCAGAAACAGTGTAAGGTAGAGAAGATTTATTTTGTCTCATAGGTTCAGAGGTTTTAGTCTATAGCTGGCTCCATTGTTTTTGGCCTGAGGGAAGATAATGTTACCCTGCAGGAGTGTGTGGTGGAGGAGGTTAAACACTTCGTGGCAGCCAGGCAGGTGTGTGTGGACGGAGACCCCTTCAAAGACCTACTTCCTTCAAATGGGCTCCTCCTCCCAGTGTCTACCACTTCTAATGATACTACCAAATTGTAAGTCTTTCATCTATGAGGTCAGAGCCCTCAGGAGTCAGTCACTTCCCAAAGCCCATCAGTGGCCAACCATGCTGTTCCCCATGATCCTCTGCAGGACATTTCCCTTTCAAACCATATTATCTGTTGTTCAGAACTTAGATGTGTGCTCCCCTCAGGGAAAGAGTTTACTTTTTGTGTGCCCTGAGACCAGGAGTAGCAAAGGAAGGGTCTGCCCTGCTTTTGGAAGCACAGGCTGCTGTGCCCTGCTAACTTGGTCTTTTCAGCCATCACTTGGACTAGTGTTCTCAGTGATGTGGGCATCTCAGCTCTCAGGCCCTCACCCGTGCCTGGCCTTGGCAGAGTCGTAACAGTGGCTGCCAGCCAAGCTCTGCAGTCTGGATTCATCATCCTTTCCCTGACTATTTGTGGGGCTGAGTGGCTCACTCTTTTTTGGGAATATCCCTTTCCGTGGATTCCTTTCCAATTCTG